AACTCCTTCCAACAGAGAGGTGTGGGGCCAGAGCCCTTGTGTAAATTTGATGCTGAGATAGATATCAGTTGGGGAATCAAGGACTACAGGGAAAGGGCAGGAAAATGGATGCGAAGGATGTTGGCTCAACCATTATACTATTGAATGGCAGAAGGGTCCAATCTTGTTCCTATTTCTTATGGTCTGAAGTGCTGAAGCACTTTGCTTCAAAGTCATAGAGTGTTATATCAATAAACACTAGGCTGCCCAAAATAGCTGGTGCATGGGATAGATTTTAAGTCGTGTCTTTGTAAGTGAGATGACAAATGGTTGCGAGAGGTGATTGCCCACGATGAGTACAAGTAGTAGTAGTAAGGACTATATCCTAAAAAGATACAACACCACCTTTACTTACGCTGAGAACTTAAAACAATTGCTTATTAAAACAGTACTCTCTCCTTATCATTCAAAAAATTTTGGAGGCAGATCTGACATCCTATCCCCATCCCCAGGCCTCACATTGTTAAGTGCAACCAATGATTCACTGTGGGCAAAGTTACTCACAATTGGTATATGTCTCCAGATGGACTTTAATCAGTATTCAGTTTGAATATACACTATACAGGAACGAATTTACCTCATGCTCACAAGAACAACATAACTCCAGCGAAGACCATACATTGAAATCTTGGTAATAAGGTATTATAATCCCCAACATACAGGAAGGACTTCCCAGTAACTTTATTGACATTGTACTTATTCGCACAATGGCAAACAAAGAAACGCAAATATATCTGATCCAAGTTCAAATGCATGAATATAGTATTTCTGGAAAGATGAAATTGCAGCAATTCCACATTTAAGCATAAAGTTCAGTATTTAAAACAGGCAACTGAGACTTGCTTTTTGAATGTTTGTGGAATTTAACACAATATAGAAATCACAGTTCCAAATTGAATATTTTTAAATTGAATAAATTTGCAACATGATGCTAAACATGCTGCTCCTGTACAAGCTTCTTACCTATTCTAATGAGGATTCAACCTCGAAGTTTTTCCATTACTTAAGACAGAGGCTGATTAGGTTTTGGGCTTATGAAAATCTTGGAACAATTACCCATATTTTTACAGGATGGGGGAATACAAATCAAGATACCAATCTGTAAAATGAAAATGCTGATTTAACTTCAGCAGCATAGGGTACATTACAGGAAAACACACTGATTCACCTAGTAGCAGTGTCAAGTTTAAAAAAAAGCTTTATTTTATACAATTGAACATTAAATTGCAGAAAGAAAAGCTCATCACTTTTCAATGCTATTAGGCCACATTTTTAGATGTTTGTTAACATTTCCACTGTGAACTGAAGTGAGAACTCTTCCAATCAGTGTGACAATCAGTAAAAAGCCTTTGTGTTTACTGATTGCACTAATCAAAACCAATTTTCAAATGTAGTTAATTGGCGAGCTTACAGAAATGAAAGCATGTCATAAATCAGATTCAATTTTGGATGGCAAAAACCAAATACGCTATTCACATCGAGTGCTTGCAGACAGCACTTGACTCCCACAAGTTATCAGCACTCAGACAATTCATCAGCAGCATGTAGACTGAAATATCCCAGGAAAATCAAAGATTGCTGATGGAAACACCCACATTATATATTTTAGGGTTGAGGGGGAAAGAAAATAACACTGATTGACCGTTCTGTCCTTCCAATAAAATTCTCAGCACCACAAGCCTATTATGCAATTTTCCAAAGGCAGTCAGTGGACTATGGCGGGTATGGAGGCTGCAGATAATAGAGGAATTATGATGATTTTATTGTGTTAACCATTTCAAATGAAATGTAGAAAATAAATGGGAATTAACTGGTTGTGTTCTATACAAATTTCAATGTGCACTGGTGACATAAAAAAACACTATTACCCCATAACTGAACAGAAACATAAGAGATGCACTAATGCCAATGACAACAATACAGATGTCATTGATTCGTGCAAAAAGAATGAAATGATAGCTGGGAAAGACAATGGCAAGATCACGTGACCAGATATTTATAATCTTCTTTAAAACGCAGTGAACATTAAAAACGAGTTCTCCTCAATCGCTACAGAGAAACTGCAACATGTGGGTTTATATTTGTGCAATTTAACATTCCTGAATTCTGAAACTCCTTTAAAAAACACTCTTTCGATCTCTCCCTTCACCTTACTTCTTTGATCAGTGCTCATTTCTTTTTAGGTTGTCTGCACTTAATTCTTTACTTATCTGTGTAACAATTCCAAACAGTGAAAGAAACTAGGAGGTACAGAAGTCAAAAATCATCCTGGGCAACGAATCCCAGCTTCTTCTGTGGTCAATTTTGAAAATCAGACAGGAATGCAAGACAGAAGACTAATTTTCCACAGATCATTTTCCAACACATGACTCTTATCATATTGTATCAATAAAAACCAAAGTGCTAGGAAAACGAAATATTGCTTTGGTTGATGGGATATAGTCAGTTCTAATATAACACAATAGTTCTGTTCTTGTGCGATCTCATGTTATAAGAGAATTGTTCAATAGCTGCACCATTTAAACTAATGGTGCTGGAATCGCGTTGGAGCCAATACAGTTTAGGAAAGTTCGCATTCTTCAAATAGCTGTCTAAATTCTTCAATCGCATTAAAGCCAATTCATGTTGAAGAAACAGACGTTATAACAGAACAGACTATATTGCAGCATGTTTTTAACTATCAGAAAGCCAGGTGAAGGTCTCCATATTGCCAGGATGGCTAACAATCACACATCTTTCTCAGAGCAAAATATCAGAGTGAGAAGCATTGACCTTTCAGTACATGCAGGTACAGAGGCATAGAAAACTACACAATGAGGACCTGCTCAAGCATTATAGTTAAAGGGCTGGATCAGCTGTTAAGCTGAAGCCCTTACAGAGAGGCTGGATGAAGTATAGAAAGGTGAGATTAGCTGCATTTAAAAGTGTCTAAAAACTTAAAACCCCAGCTTTTTCATTGTGTAAGCCCTCTCCCAAGTCGACTGAAAGATGCTCAGACATTTAACTTCACATGACGGTTGCCACATAAATGCAAGCAACTTTATTTTTTTAAATAAACAAAATTTTTGGATGAACCAACAGCTCTATTTGCAACAATTCCCATCTCACCTCTGGTGTACAATTGGGTTGAGAAGAGCTCAGGAGTCTTATGGATAAAACAACTGGATTCTGTGTGTATGGGATCAGATTAGATAGTTCCCTATCAACACTCCATAGGCAAGAAAATGGCAAACCAAAGTGTCAGCCATGCTCAACAACTTGCCCTGAGAAAGCACAACTGGCCCAACAAAACGTGTCAAAAATGCTTCAGACTCTAACCAAACAAACTTTGACTAGTCACTTAGGCAGAAGATCGGATACGTGATCAAAGGCTTCCTCAGATGTAGGCTTCAAGGAATGTCTTAAAAAGGAGAGAAAGATGGAGGGTCTTACACAAAATTCTCCAGAGCTTACAGCCAGGTAGCTGAACACACCAGCATGAATGGCACAGGGATCAAAACTGGGGATGTGCAAGAGACCAGAATTAGCGGAACACAGATCTTGGAAGGTTGTAGGGCTGGAGGAGGTTGCAGAGGTAGGGAAAACAGAAAATGCAAATCTCATTATTATAACTTATACTTGCGTAATGCAATTAACATAGAAAAGCTCCTAAAGTTGCTCAAGTGATACAGAAAGATGAAAATGGGGGCCAAGCTGAAAAACTGATTTTGGTTAACGAACTGCATTTTAAGAAAGATCATGAGGCAGAAAAGGGATAGGAAAGGATTTCCAGAACTGCAATGTTGCCACGTGACGCTAAAGTTGTAAACACAGTGATGTGACCTAAGACAGCACCCAGTGAGGAGGATGAAGTTCAAGGAAAAGGTGCAGAATCTGAGGTAGAATTGGATACATCTGTTGGTTCTTCTGAAAGCTTGGCTGTAATTTATCACAACTCATCTAAGACTGTATGCAGGACAAGCAATCTGACAATACAGCAAGAATGCAATGGCTGAGATTTTACACAAAAGAAGACATCACTAACATACAAGTGAAAGCTAATGTCATGAGTTCAGATGCAGCTGTCTGTAGCAGAAAAAAATTGAACGTCAAAGGATTCTAGAGTTTTTACATTGGGTTAGCAACAGAAGCCTCTGCTCTAATAATGTATCAAGGACTTGACAACTGAGAGTCAAACATATCAAGAGCAGCCCCACTAAGACGGATAAGACAAAGGAAACTACGCTTAACTATGTCAAAACCTGTAGCACAGTTGAGCCACTGAGGTGGAATAAGTACAATCACCATCTTAGAGAATATTATTTGGTTAGGACAGCTTGAATGTTACTGCAGAAGGGGACTCCAACTGGAGTTCCAAACATCAAGTTGCAGGAAAAGTGCATGTTCTTGTAAACCACCAACATATGCTAGCATTTGGAGAAGATTGGGTATTCACTTGCAAGAGCCGTGTGAATTTGTTGAGGTGAAACATTTACTATTTCAGCCAGCATGGAGATCAGCAAGGGAAGTTTAAATAGGTTTATCAGTTTTTGCAACTCATTTTCAAAACGGGCACTGACTAAAATGCCAAGAGGCCACAAGTTTACTGTCGCTGCCTAGAGTGCTTAACTATTTACACAAGTTTTATTTTTCATATGTAAAACAGAATCCTATATTTGTCAATTTTAGGCCTTACTTTACATATTATTTACTACTTAATCTGTAAATCAGGTTTGTCAAATAACTTACTTGGCAATGGGACAGTAAGAGATGGTGGTGCTCTCATCAATGGGGGCCGAGAATTTTTCGCTTGTTGATAAAGAGGTGGAGGGGTGTAACTGTAAACACCACTTCCTCCTTGAGAGCGATCTTTTGACATAACATGGCTAAAACAAAATTAAAGAAACAATATGTACACTTGGTCCATATAATACAAACTAGGTTATTCTTTTTATGCTAAAACAATTTAACAAATATAAGAATGTAGTTTGCTATGAGTGATTGGAACTGAAGCCAATAGCTTTCTCAATGATCCATATCCTGCAGCTTTGAAGGATGTGAAACATGGCTCCCAAAACTAAATATTAACACCCGAGTGTCCAAGTTCAATATCCAAAACAGTACTGTTGAATTTTCCACAGCAAAACTTCATAATGAAAGCCAAGTTTTTACTGATTTATGACTGCAAACCGAACTGAGTGGTTAAGCCTAAAGGAAGGATTGAAAATTTTGAGCTATTTTCTCCAGATAATCACGGTACGGGGATCCTGAAGGAGGTCTTTAAAATTATGAAGGAATTTGGCAAAGCAGACACAGGGAAGACATTTCCAAGTGCAGAATTTGGGGCATAAATGTAAGATGGTCACTAATACCTCCTCGAGAGCTATACTGTATATTTATGAACCAGTCACAAATAAACACAATAGAGAATTCAGAAGAAGTTTCTCCAGCCACAGAGTAGGATAAGGAGTAGTTGAGATGAATTGCATCTATGCATTTCACTGGAAGCTAGATAAACAAAGAATCAAAAGAATGTCACATGCTAGAAGGGTAGGAAGAGGTTCACGTAGAACACAAACACTGGCACTGTCATTGGGAATGTGACATGCAATGTCACACTATGCGACTTTTCAGTCTTGCTGTACCCACATAGGTACTGGCACATAGTCTGTACATTGCAAAATGTTAAAATTGCACAGGAGCCTGCAATTTGCATGTGGAAAAAAAGCTATTTTCATACCAAATAGGTCTAGGAGTTTGGGTGCTGCTTCAAGATCAACTAAAATCTGTATCAATACCATTACTTGGTTGACAGTAAAGGATTTATATACTCTGCTCCCTTGGCCAATCTCGCAATGAATCAGAGGAAAGGCTGATTTCTATCTAATGATGGAGAAAATTATGTCCCTTGAGTATTTACAAGATCAATTTTGCAAACGTTCCAACTCGCATTCCAATTTCTGTTTAACCTGTTGTTGAAAATCAAATACCAAGGTCGTTGTGCCCAAAATTATTAAAAGAGCAAATGTATTGAACACATTGTTTTCAGCCAACAGTTGAGTTAATCACATCAAACTCTGCAACAGGTTTCACTGTGGCAAAAAGGGCAATGGCTGCAGTGATGATACCTGTTTGACTGATGGTTATCGGAATAGGTCACCATGTGAATAATCTGATTGCCACTTCACTCTCCAGAGAATAAATGTTCTTAAAAACAGACAGTTTAATTGTGGAGTTAGATCAATTATTAGGTAGGGGTGGTATGCGTGTGTGCATGCATGTGGCTGGGGGTGGCGGGGAGCGGGTTTGGTACTCAGTATTGTATATTAAAGCAGCATTGTGGGACATGATTCCTGCCTTAACTCTGCATCCCAAGTGAATTAGGAAGAAACATCAAAGCTGCTGGGATAACACGACAGTTGCTAAAATAATCCTGCTAGTCAAATTATTTCACTGAGCTCTTACATTTGCTGGCTTGGAATGTTACATACCCCAATGTTCTAAATGCTGCTTGGTCCAAGTGTACTTGATGCCGATTTGGGTTAAAGCCGAGTCGTGGCCTCCAAGGCTGCTTTTGGTTAGATTGCTCCCAATCAGATGGTTTCAACACTTTTGGAGGTTTTCTGAAAGAGAAAAGTAAAACGAAATGACTGCAGATGCTGTCGATCTGAAACAAAAACAAAATGTTGGAGAAACTCAGCAGGTCTAGCAGCATCTGTAAGGACAGATACAGAGATAACGTTTTGAGTCCAGTCCATTCTGACAAAGCATCACTGGACTTGAATGTTAACTGTTTCGCTTTAGAGATGCTGCCAGACCTGCTGAGTTTCTTCAGCATTTCCTATTTTTGTTCCAAATGTTAATAATTATCACACAGAAACATAGTACAGCTCAGATGGAGCTCATTCAGCCTGTCCTGCTTTTGTTGGTCTAAAGGGCTCTCCAAATTTAGTTCCACACTCCAAATTTCTCCCTGTAAACTTACAAATTAATTCTCTATAAGCACATGCCAATTATCTTTTAAAATGTTCTTATGAAATCTAATTCTACCAGCCTTTCAAGCAGGACATTCCACAACATAATTTGTGTGAAGAATTTTCTCATTTTCCGTCTGGTACTTTTGCCAATAATATTAAATCTGAGAGCTCTGGTTATCACCAGACTTTGTAAGGGAATGCATTACTTCCTACTTGTTATGATGAAATCGCTAATAATTTTGAGAATCTGTTTCAGAGCTCTCCTTAACTTTGAGTGTTTTCCTCTTCACATCACAAAATGTACCTCATCCTGGGCACCTCCATGCTAACATCCCGACTAAAATCAGGTTTCCAAAATAATACAGAAAACATCAACCAGAGATCTGTAAAGTTGAAGTCAGCTGCAAAGTACAGGTATGCTAATAATGCCCTCCGTCTACAGAAGAATTCCGAAAGCAGTCCCACCATTGATTTAACTATCCTCCTTGGAGATAAGACCTTTGGAATCCTCTATTTAATCCATTTGTCTTTCCTCACGTTCCCTTTTCTGTTCCCTTTTTGTAATTGTTCCTTGCACATTGTGCATTTTTCTATTAATACATCACTCACAACAACCAGAAATATGGCTGTTAAATGAAAGAAAGCAACATTTCAAGCATCCAACCTATAGATGCATCCTAAGTATTAACTTCCACTGACATACTTTTCAACAACACTGATACTTTTTGTTCCCTTCTATATGTTCTTTCCATAAATTAGGTAGTTAATAGTGGAATATAGCTATGCAAGCAGCAGAACCTTTCTCAACTCAGCCCAGATAATACTGTATGGTTATATGGTTGTGAGAACTGAGGCATTTACAGGTGCCCGACAATGATGTTATTCAAAGAACTGCGGTTCCAACAGGTATAGGTGGACATTCAGCAAACCTTATTTCTCCTCTCTAATCAAATCACCATGAGAAACTAAATTGGCTAACTCAATTTAGACCAGAGAAATAACACAAGTTTTTGTTGTCTGAATGATTCTATGGTTTTCATAAGCATGTGCATGTTGATGTTTTAACAGATTTCTCAATGCATAAAAACCACTGGCGGCCAAATTGTTTTCATGATGCAAAGCTTCTCCCTCAAATGCTATATTTTTAAACAAAGTTCAAAAGTCAGAAAAGTTTGTTTTGAAAAATGCTACTTACACTGCTCCAGGTAAGAAAGAAGCTTTGAATATATAGCCATCTTCAAACTGAGGATCCTTGAATAACATACTGCAAGGAAGGAAGTGAAAGTGTGCATAAAGCAGATTTCTTTTATCATGCATAACATCAACCAAAACAGAATAATTGCAAAACTAAAAGCAAGAGTAAGTACAGCGAACAAAATTTCCACTCACCTGCATGCGTTATTCTGGGTAATGTCTTGCAATGCTGGTATAGTAGATTCCACTGTTCTAAAAGTAAATTTATATACATAGATATATAGATATACATATATATAAAATTCAGGCAATCATTTACAAAAGATGTGACTTCCCATGCTGGTTTATCTTTATAAGCTCAATTACTTCTCTCTACATTCACATTCAGTTAAAACTGGAGCATTGAGCTAGTGACCTTCCCAATTCAGCAGAATTTATGTGCACAAGGAAATACATCCTTTTGCCTAACCATGCCAGCACCACCTTAAAAAATGCTTTTTCTTCCCAAGTAGAAAATTATGCAAGCACATATCCAAGAATACATACAAGCTTGTTCAAGCAACTATTAATTCTGATGCCAACTTTCTAGTTCAAAATCAAGCACTAAACTAGTCAGGGTGCCTTTAGAACTGAAAACAACTCTTTATAGCAAATTAGCCTTAAATGCATTAAATGAACCTTAAACATTTTGAAGACATAATTCTCCTCCGCAACTGTCTATACAGGCAACCATAATGGATTACAAAATTAGCAATTTGTTGATATATCTGTATATTATTAAGAAATCCCTATACTTTAAACAAAAATGAAGACTTACTTTCCTGGCTTTATTACATCATTCTGTAATGTTAGAAGGCCTTTAATACCATGGCAAAGTTCAGGAGACATCTCTACACCCTATAATCACAAATTTAATTTAGTAAGGGCACTTACTTTAAAAAGCAGTGAGAAACAACAAAATTATACAAATTACCCACCTGAGCATCACTATTTTGCAATTCGACAATGAAGTCAAACAACTTATGGTGTTTTCCAACAAACAGCTCATCACTTCCAAGACTATTTCGTCGAACTAAAATCAAGATATTCAAAAATTCAGTTCTATTCAACTACTTCTAGCATCCCTTGTTCAGGATTCAATCATGCAGTGTTATGTTTACTTATGAATATTGTAACTGGAGCAGAGATCCACAAGAGGCTTATAATCAACCCTATTATTTCCATAAACGTGACAGCCATTTTTAAAATATTATCTGACACCTTACACTAAGAAGCTCAAGAAATGCTGAAAATAATACGTTTTGTCAAAACTTTTCATCTCACACTCATCAGGACAATATGTGAGAAACATAAACATAAACAGAAAACAACATATATGTACTATGACAGGAGTACTTATTGGCTGACAAGTTGGCTCTGATTAGCATTACCATGGAAAATCTCAGTTACACAATGACACACGGTTAGTTTCCAAACTTTGTTTAAATTTTAAAACAGGCACGCTGACTGTTTGGTCAAGGCATTGCCTGGAAAAATAAATATCATAAAATGGTCATCACCTATTTTAAGCTGAAACAGACAGTGTGCATACATATTTTTTCTGCCTTTAAAAGAAAAGACAGCCCTGAGTCTTCATTACGTAGCTTCCAGTACTTTCAAGTGTGCCACACTGTGCGTCCAAGTGACAATCCCAAATTGGATGTCAATGTAATTCCTCATGTATTCAGGGTTATTTAGCAAGTTTTGTCTAATCACTGAATCACATGAACTGTTTAACAGTATGTTGAGGGTTTACAACTACTAGCTGACTGGCGTGACCTTCACTGGCTAGTACACATCTGCAGTTTCTGCAAGATTGACCAGATCAGAAAACAGGGTCCGAGCAAGCTAGATGCTGAAATAGACCACATCAAAACCAAACTGTGGGATAATGTATACCCATAATTTCTCTATTGCACAAACTCATGAACAGATCCAGGGCCATCACATTAGGTCCTGAGAAGTACGCAGGCTGACTCAGATTAACCTGGAGGGGTAAAATCTCAACGGTCTGAGCAATGGGTGAAGTTCGGTGTTTTGTACTGCTAACATGCACCACTAACAGAATGCTGCCATCAAGCCAAAAGGACGTCAACCCATCACACAAAAGATCAGTGAGGTTTATGAATTTTAGTGCTGGTGAGATGCTAGATATTTAGGTGATTTGTACCAAAGACGCATGGGATTGTATCAAACCACACATCCCTTTAGCTGAACTGCTCGCTATACCCAACCAGTTCATGCTTGCAGAACTCACTGTAATGCCATCAGTCGACATGATTCAGTGACTGGACAACATCTGCTAAATAATCTTGTGTGTGCAAAGAATTGGCTGACAACCAATTTAGGACTGTCAGTCAGTCTCGCAGTATGGCACATGTGTGTACTGGAAGCCACAGATATTCGTACTCTGGACTCTTCTTTGCAACACAAAGAACATGTACACTAACTGTGCATGCTTCAATTCAACAAACAGATATCAGTCAATTTTTTGATTGACTTCTCAGCGCAATACCTTGACCAATCAGAATCAATTTACCTGGTTTAAAATTTAACTAAAGTTGGCAGTAACTGTCAGTCATCATTTAATTGGCATATTCTCCATGATAATGCACTTACCAATCAGAGTTCAGTTGGTTGGCAAACAGCACCCTCCTCTTAAACAGTGAAAATATTGTACAAAAATCCAAAGAACTGCAAATGCTGGAAATCAGAAACAAAAATAGAAATTGCTGAAAAAACTCAGCATGTCTGATAGCATCTGTGGAAAGCAAAATTAACATTTCGGGTCCAGTGACCCTTCTTCACAAAGGAGGCTCTGAAGAAGAGTCAGTGGACCCTAAATGCTAATTCTGCTTTCACTCCACGGCTGCCAGACCTTTCCAGCAATTTGTGTTAATGTGCGCGTGCACGCACATGTGTAAATCTGGTTTCCCCTTTACATTAGTTTTTGTTGCAAATTGTCCTGATTAGTGCAAGATGAAAAAATTTGACAAAGTGGGTCTTTTTACAGCAATGTTCAAGTACTGTGCTGTCAAACAAAAAGTATATATTCAATACATCAAGGGCACATCAGTTATACTGAATCAAAGGCATCAATCCATTATTGACTTTTTGAAGCATATTAATGCAAGCAAAACTCAAACCTCAACAACGACCCAGTAAACCCAATGCAGTTATCATAATTCTTACTTTCATCAGGAGTGAGATCAGGGTAAACTGTTTCCAGAGCTGCTCTAAGCCGTCGTTCATCAACAAATGGTAGAAGTGCAACACCTAATGGCAGATGAACAATAAATCAGTGCTGGAAAATAAACTAAGCCAGATATGAGCTTGAACAAATAGTTGAATTTCCAGTTAACATCTTAATTTTATAAATAATGGACATCCAAGCTGGATATAAGTGCTATCAAATTCTCTTAGCACAATGTTTTTAATGTACGGTATTTGCACATCCAGAGGGACATGTGTCTGAACTATGTAGAATAAGTAGATGGTGACACTAGTATATAAGGCTGAATTAACATCAGCATCGTCATGTTGGAGCTCAATTCTCCAGCGACGGCTCAGCAACATGATTAACAAGCCAGCAGTTGTAGCATTTAAAGAGGTCATTTAGTTGATTTAATTATCAATCATTTTCTATACTGCAATTGTGGGGGAATGGTTTAGTGGTTTCCAAGATTGACTAAAGGTGAAATCTACAGGGGAAACTTGCAATGTGTGCTGAAGGGCGTTGGTTTGATATCAAGGATTATGCATATGGCACTTGTTTCCAGACATGGCTTTGTATTTTGCATTTCCTTTGACCTACAGTATTGATACGGAGAATGAGCAGAGGACACATAGTGAAGGCCAACCTGCCGCAAGAGGGATGAGGCGGGGAGGAAGTGTTCACATTCATGGTGATAGCCATTCTGAATATTCTGGAAGTGATTCCTTGAGCAGTGCCTCAGTGAGAAACAATCCACCTCCATTTCACTAAGGAGGTCCTCATTTAACTCTTCCAAGTTACAGCTGAGCAGTGAAAAAAATGGCACTGCCAGTGGCTGTGCAGGTGACCTTGCCCATGAGCTATTATTTATCTGGAGCCCTTTCTTAGTCATAGGTCATGACAGATGCAACACGTACTATTAAGCCATTCACTATTGCATAAAGTTAGTCACTTACATTTCATTCTCTCTTGTCAGCAAGAACCCAGAAGTGAGGATGCAATTTGATAAGAATGAAGGCTTCCCAATGATACAGGGCACCTTTTATTGCATGCATATAGCTTTGCTTATGTTAGCCCTAAGCGCTACTGTAATATTCAGCTTGAGAGTTATTAAAACAGAGCCCATCACTCAGGTACCTTCACAGCAGTCATGATGTTTGCACAGCTGCATTTAAACTACCATAGAAACAAAAGGCTCACTCCCTTAGGCAAAAGTACATTCCTTCATGACACAAATCATAAACAATTGTCCAACAGTCAAACATGGACGGTGTGCATACCACAAATGGGCGATTAAGAATGCCGAAATAGACTCATGCATGCGCAGACGCAGGAGTGATGTCAGCTGGCTGAGTGGAGAAGGATCACTGGACTTGAAATGTTAACTCGGCTTTTTCTCCACAGATGCTGCCAGGCCAACTGAGATTTTCCAGCAATTTCTGTTTGTTTCAGGTCTTCAGTATCCACAGTTTTCTTTTACTTTAGACTCAATGGGAACAAGTGGGGAGAAGATTCTCTGTTGGTTAGTCATAGGCTGCACAGAAGAAGGTGGCTGTGGTTGTTGGAAATCAATCATCTCGGTCTAGGATATTTCACCATTTGTTCCTCTGGAAAATGTCCTGGGGACAACAATCTCCCTCTAAGGTCAGAAGTGGGAAAGCTTGCTAATAATTGTACAACGTTCAGCACCATTTATGACTCCTCAGATAATGAAGCAACGCATATGCAAATGCAGCAAGTATACCCAAGATTTGGCTGTCAAGTAGCAAGTAACATTTGTGCCACACAAGGGCCAGGCAGTGATCATTCACAACGAGAGTGTGTCTCACAACATTGCTCCTTGACATTACCATCACTGAATTCCCATTGTCAACATCCTGGTGGTAACCATTGACCAGAAACTCAACAGGACTAGCCATAAAAATATCGAGGCCACGAGAGTAGGTCAGAGGTTGGGAATCCTGCAGCAACTGAAATGCCCTCTTGAAACCTCCGCCCCATCTACCATCTACCACGCGTGTGATGGAATACTCTCTACTTGTCTGGATGAGGGCAGCTCCAAAAACACTCAAGAAGCTTGACACCATCCAAGATAAAGCAGCCCACTTAATTAGCACTCCATCCACAAACATTCAGTCTCAAGATGACCAACACCTAGTAGCACCAATGAGTACTATCAAAACAATGTACTGTAGAAATTCATCAAGGCTCCTGAGACAGTCCTTTGGCACCCTTGGCCATTATCATGTAGAAGAGTGGCAGATACATGGGAACAAGCTCCCTCATGCCACTCAAAATCCTGACTTGGAAATATACTGCCATTCCTCCATAGTCGCTAGATAAAAAATCCACTAAGTTTCTCCCCAACAGCACTGTGGATCTAACTACACCCAATGGTCTGCAACAGTTTAAGGAGGATGCTCCTCACCACCTTCAACAGCAATAAATGCTGGTCCAGACAGTCATGCTCATACCCCATAAATTCAAGTTAAAAATAATTTAATGCATGTTTGTGGGTGCCATTTCCTGGCATAGCTCTCCATACAGTGCTGTCTCAGTGGGTGCAACATCACTTGTGGGAAGCTGCTGGCTTTCAATGGGAGATACTACAGATGGCCTTGCAGTAAGGACCTAGATTAGTTCAGGTCCTTTAACGATCCAGCTTCAGACTGCACCAGTTCAACATAGGTAGCAGCAGTCTGGGCTGACCAGTAAAAACAAGCACACTGGTAGAGTGGCAGTGGTAGTGAACAAATTCTGCAACCTCAAGAGAGGATTGCATGATTAAGCTTCATGGATTCATTGCCAAGCACCATCAGCAGCACATCAGCAAATATGGCAATAAACAAGAGGACAGACTGCTGGACTGCAATGTCTTCTTGAAAGCAACTCTGGTTTTAGTAACCAAAGCTTGTTTGTCAGAAAGCTGGGTTTGCATAATATAAACCATCACAACAGCATCCAGACACAGGTGGCTACTGTTTGTGTTCCAACTGAAGTTGAGATCATCGGCTATGAAAGGATGCGTCATGGAGAGATCACAAGTGTTATCAAGAAGTTGACCACCATCCCACACGACAGAGATTGGGTTCCGAGTTCTGCACTAACCTCTATACACAACGTAAAATGGTACCTAATTATCTGCACAAGTGTAGGAAATATGATCAGGACGTCATTCTGCCCATCGAGCCTGCCCCACCATTTAGTACCATGATCAAACACTTTAATGTCTTTTACTTACCCCATCTCTACTAACATGTAAATAACTGGTAATCAGAAATCTATCAATCTCTACTTAAATGTACTCAAAGACTGAGCTAGCTTCCAGAGAACTCTGTGGTAGAGAATTCCAAATGCCCAAAATCCTGAGTAAAATGCTCCCCTTCAAGGCATCATGGTGGCTTAGTGGTTAGCACTGCTGACTCTCAGTGCCAGGGGCTCGGGTTCAATTCCACCCTCGGGTGACTGTGTGGAGTTTCCTTTGGGAGCTCCATTTCCTCCCAGAGTCCAAAGATGTGCAGGCTAGGTGGATTGGCCATGCTAAATTACCCATAGCGTTCAGGGATGTGTAGATTAGGTGGGTTATAGGGGGATGGGTCTGGGTGGGATGCTCTGAGGGTCAGCGTGGACTTGTTGGGCCGAAGGACCTGTTTCTACACTGTAGGGATTCTTTGATCTATGAACCTAAGCACATCCCACTAATTTTTAAATAAGATCCCCTTGGTGCTGGAGCCCCCCCAACCAGAGATAATATCTTACCCAAATGTACCCTGTCCATCCATTTAAGTATTTTGTCGGTTTTGATCAGGTCACCTCTCATTTTCGAAACTCAGAAAGCAGGCCCATTTTGCCCAACTCGCTATCCCGCAAACATGCCTGGTGAACTCTCTGACAATAATGGATTTCCTGACAGAAGGAGACCAAATCTGCACATAACGTTCCAGGTGTGGTCTAACCAAATTCCTATACAGTTGAAGCAAGATCTCACAACTCCTGCACTGAAATCCTCTTGCAATAAAGGCTAACATTTCATTAACCTCTCTAGTAGCTTGCTGCACGTTAGCCTTCAGTGACTTACCAACAAGAATATCTAGATTCCAGATTACATTTGCACTTTCATCTTTTGCCATTTAAGAAATACTGTGCATGTCTGTTTCTCCAAACAAAGTGATTAACCTCATTTTCCTTTCATATTCCATTCTCTAGCCCATTCACTAAGTCTGTCCAAATCCTCCTGAAGGCACTTTACATTTTCCTCACAACACACATTGCCACTTAGGTTTCTATCATCTGCAAATTTGGAAGTATTATATTTGGTCCCCAACTCCAAATCACTGATATGAACAGCTGGTGCCCCATGTATTGATCCCTGCAGCATCCTATTAGCCTGTCAATGCAAGAATAACCCATTTCTTCCGACTCTATTTTCTATCTGTTGGACATCATTAATCCATGCCAATGCATTAGTTCTTATTCTACATGTTTTAGTTTTTCTAACCAATCTCATATTGGGAACTTTACCAAAAGCCATCAGCTAATCTAAGAATACAATGTTTATTGGCTTTGCCAAGTTCATTAAACATAAATTTCCCATTTGCAAATCCATGACGCCATTGTTCTATTAGATCTTTATAAACTAGGTGATTATTTATCCCATCCTTTGATAACGGATTCTAGCACCTGCCCTATTACTGTATAAGGCTAACAGGTCTGCAGTTCCCCATTTCCTCTTTCATTCCCTTCTTAAATAGTAAGATGACAATTGGAATCTTCAAATTACAGAAATCATTCCAGAATCTATTGAATTTTGGAAGCGGATCACCAATACAAGGACTCTCTCTATAGCTAACTTCTTCAGTGATCTGGGATGTACATCATAAGGTCTTTGAGACACATCAACTTTCAGTCCCCATTCTTTTTTCCAGTACAATCTTTTTACTGATGTAAGTTTCCATCCTCATTCTCCCTAGCCACTTAGATCTCTCATTCTGGGAGATTTCTGATATCTTCTTCAGTGAAAACAGGCAAAAAGTAATCATTTAGCCTCTGTGCCATTTTCTATTCCCATGATAAAATTCTCTTGAAGCTTTTACAGACCGTTTCTGCATTTTCTATAGATTGCATGCATTTGCTATTCTCCCTTTTCTTCTCAGTTTCATGGTCAACCCTTATTGTTTCTTATTAACTGCCAATCCTCAGAATTACTGCTATTTCTGGCAACTTTATAGGTAGTTTATTTTATTGTTATGCAATCTTGAACTCCTTTGGTAGGCACTGCTGACTGCCCTTTTTTGACATTCTGCGCCCTGAAGGAATGCATACCTGCTCTAGTGCATGTAATAATTCTTTGAAGATTATCCATTGCTTATGTAAGAATCTGACTTTGTGTACCAGATGAACAATGCAACTGACTAGGGATCAATGAACATTGGTGAGGTAGCAAGATGGCACAGAATAAAAGAAAATCAGTTCACTTTTAGAAGTGTGTTTTGATAACCAGATGTTTCAATAATGCCTGTTCAGGAAGCTGTAGATAAAGTCCTAACTGCTTTTATAGTTTTTCACATTTTTAAAAAGTTTTCTTGTCAGAAATTGCTACATTGAAGTGCAAATGATAACCAAATTAAACTCGTCTAGTCTTTCCTAGTTTCCATGATGACGCCTGCGTAACCAAGTCAGGCAAGATTGTCAAGTATGCTTTGAAAATCAATTACAGCAATACAAAAACATACTGATATGTGAGAAAGCTCCATAAACACATGTTGAGTAGACGCTGTCATTATCGCACACAGAGACACAAGTTTGTCCATTAACTATCATAACAGCAGCTCATTCCAATCAACCATGGAGAAGGAATGACACCATCATCCAAACCAGTTGTGACTTGCAATAGGAAATAAGTTACTACAGAAGCGCAGATTATGAAAAACTACTTGAACATTTTCAAGCATATCTGTTGCGCATATTTCTTTTGATTTGCATACAATGAATGCTTCTGCAGCACAGAAACAGGATGTTGAGTCCAGCAGGTCTGTGTAACTGTTTATCCGCTACTCAAACCCCCTCTCACCTCCTACAGCCACCCCCAGTAACATATCCTTGTCATTCTTGCTTCCTCTTGTTTACCTAGATTCCCACAAGTGTGCCAATGCTTTTCAACTTAACTATTCCTTGTCATAGCAAGTTCCACACATTTATTGTCTGCTGGGTAAGAAAGTTCTCTTTAGCTCCTTGTTCATTTTATCAGCAACGAAATTTATGAGCTAAAAAGTTCTGACCTTATCCATAACTACAAGCATCTTCTCTACACCCACTATTTAATCAATCGTGGAGACCTCGAACAGGTCCTGTTTCAGTCTTGACTTTTCTCAAGGTGAGAACTCCAGTCAGGTCAATCTTTCTAAACAGGTAGAACATCTTAATTACATAATTTTGCCAGCAATTTTTTTTGGAACCTTCTCTGTTGGCCCTACATTTTCTTTTATAATTTGGAGAACAGAATTATTCACAGTACTCAAATTCCACCAAGTCCGAAATTTATACATTTAAAAATCTAATTTTGAATCGTGCATCAAGCAGCTTAATATTTATTTCAGTCTTTCACTAAATATCTAGATATAGAGAAAACAAAAGTATTTAAAAATCCAATTATAATAGCCCGGTCAAGTAAGGAACAGCAGAAAAAGAATTAGTCCATTACATTCTCATTCATCTGTCAATAATACCAGCCATAATCACCCTCTCATTGTTGATCCTTGTTCAGCTCATGAATCATAACAGTCAAATTACTTTCACAACTAGACACCTTGCCTCAAAGCTAGTTCTGCTTTTAATCTGAACACTGGGTCATGCATATCTTAATGCTTTCTCTACAAATGCCTGCAAAACACAGCTGCCTTCAATTTACATTTAATATCGCAATATTCAGACAAGTATATTATGATAATAGACTATATGCTGAAATCCAAAGTCCTACCTTGCCAAGCATATTTCTTTCCATTTAAATCAATAGCAAAGTCATCTGGATAGAAGTCAATGATTGAAGAGTCCTATTTAAAAAAAAATATTTCTTTCATCTGCCGTCCGCAAAATTTTAAATTATACAAATATACTCATGAAATTCCACCTGCCCTCACACCCCCCAAAAGAGAATCTTATATTAGTATATGGAGCAAATTCAAATAAAATTCATGGTCTATACATGTTAAATTTTGAGAGGAATCATTCAATATATTCCTGTCAGCCTATTTGTCAAGCAATTAACAGGAATATGCATTTACAATTACTATTTATACCAATCTTTGTTCTCATTAGGACACATTAGCATTTTGTCCAAAAGATCTATTACTTTCCTATGAAAATTAAGTGACTGAAGAATTGCAAATCACAATTAAGATTAAAACAGAGTTTCACATGCAAAAAAAAATTCAATGTAATGGTAATTAGGATGAGAAAGATCATAGTTCAAGGGATATTACATATTATACTTGCAGTAATGCCCTTGAGGCTTTTTGAACAAAACTTAGCATTAATTGTGTTACAGTTAGTTAGCTTTGAAATGAGTGACGGTTAGCTGCAAGTCATGCAATGTTTTCTTTACTGTATACGTTAAATTTTATTTCAATTAAGTCATGTCAACAACATTTATTTTTGATGAGCTGCATGTTAGTGAAAGCCAGGTTACATAACCCCTCTTAGAGAAGTACAATAAGTACATCACTTTTTGTATCATCTAAACCTCTCACCTCACAATACACTGCAAGCTGTTATTTGGTTTGACTATTCCAACAATTGATTGATTACATTGTACACTTAACCTTAATGTAGAAGGGAGAATGAAAATTTTAATTTGGACACAAAGGTCAAGTAATGAAATAGATGTGTTTTAAAGTGGTCGCTGTCAGAGCACCAAATTCCGTACTTTGCATCACAAATTAGTCAATTTTAAAAACTAGTTGTAAATTTGAAATATTAATTTTCATCACCATCTACAGTATCTATGTATATATTTACATAGGTAGATCACACAAATTATCCATTTTGAATTACTCTCATGCCATAATTTCATTATTTGAAAAAAACCCACCGGATTCTCCATCAGGGCCCGCCATGTCTTCGGGAGGAAGTTGCCACTTGCTGCAGGAAACACTCCCATCAATTGTTCCAGTGGTTTGAACTGCAAACAAAAGATTCATATATGTTTAAGTGTAAACATTCAGAACAGCACAGTTTATATTCACATGACAAAATGTTCTGCTTAAAAATATTAATCTTCTGTATAGAAAGAGAAGCTGGGCAAGTGAAAGGAAAAGAAGAAACGAAAGGAGTAGAGAACAATAGAGAGTAATGGTTTAACAAATGCTGAAACCTGGCTCATCGATGCTTGGGGGTAGGAGAGGTGTTCAAAGAGGTTATGAAAATGTAAAGCTTAAATTAGGACTGAAGATAGACATCTGTGGTGAACAATCTACCAAACCATGCATCAAACTTGCAAGCTTATGTAGCTCTGAATATTCACAGACACTATGTAAATGGACAGTTAGAAAATCTATAGTATCAGGATATGAATCCAGCTCACTTACAACTCAGTTAAACATTATATGCCTTGCATACAGTTTTTAAAAAATTTATTCACAAACAACAGATTAATAAAAGGCAGCTCCATAGCAAACTTCCTTTGCATCAGACTGGTCAAAATCAAGTTAACCTGAAGGTTCTCAAAGGAAAGGTGCACCAGGCAAAAATTAGGGGAGACTCGTACATTGTCAAAGGAAGAGAGAACCAATTTTACAAGTGTTAAATTAGCATTAAAAATTCACACTTATGGGTCCTGAACAAATTTACAGGTACCACTCAGGAGGGGGTCTAGGACCGAGAGCAAACACAAAAGAGTCCAAGAAGTGAAAGGAAAATGATATTCTCGTTTCAAATTTGTCAAAGAGTGGGAAAGGTAAAGAGGGGGGTTCTGGGCTCTACAAAAGCTGTTATGAACAATTTACAAAAAAGTTGACAAAAAAATAATTAATCTGACATGAGAGGAAAGACAGATCACTCTTGCCCCTCCCACACCCCGATGGAGTATCTCTCTCTCGATTCTATTAATCCCAAGCTGGAAGAACAGCACCTCATTTTCCACTTGGGGACCCTGCAGCCTTTTGGACTCAATATCAAGTTCAATAATTTTAGGGCTAGAACTCTCCCATGTCCTTGCCCGTATCCCCTTACACCAAGCCTTGCTATCACAGTTTGCCATTATACACAACCCATTGTTAGCCACTAACCATCCCCATTAATAGCTATTCACCATCATAGCGAGATCGTTATTCATTCCTTTGCCTATCTAACTGTTCTTCTCTCTCTTTGGGCTCTATCCCCACCTTTACTCGTTTACTCGTTATGCCCTCCTCACACCATATCTTCTGTATATCGACTGACATTTTCCTTGCTATCATCAATTCTGAGGACCTGAAACATTAACTCTGATTGCTCTCCACAGATGCTGCCAGCCCTGCTGAGCTTTTTCAGCAATTTCTGTTTTTGTAATATCAAGACAGGCCTTGCTGGACCGAGCACATGAATCCACCACAAGTCCTACCATAGCCCATATTACTCAGGTCCTTAAAAGATTCAGTCCATAGTCCTGGCATTTGCTGGAGCAGGACATCTTAGCTGCTCAAGACAGTTTTTTCACCCACTTCAGTTTGGAACTTTGAGTAGGTGAGATATTTGGGATCTTGGTAAACAAAATGCCCAACAGTCTATTTCCTTAAACAGAGAGATTTTAGGATTGAGAAGGAAACATAGAAATCACACAAGAGGTGACTTAGAATCAAATCAGGTACTTAGACAAATACAGTGAAGAAAAGAATGACTGGTTTGGGAGATAGAAATGAGGCATCACAGTTTCAGTAATTTTCTTTGAGTTAGCAAGGTTGAATAGCATTACAGGAACATAAATCTCATTACTATAAAAGACACTTGCATTGCTGAATTCCAGCTTTAACTTTCTGGCACAACTTTAATTGAAAATGAATACATAAATCCATCAAATATTTGAAGCTCACGAACAGGCTGATAGCAAGCTGCCAATTGTTGCAACGCAAATGGCAAACTGGTGGAAACTGAATAACTTGTAGCAAGTAAAAATTCATCTAGCATTATCTGTCTTGTCCCAAGTTACTGGACAATAGACATAAATAATGATGTCTTCAGCAGCCAATTTTGGTCCATCACAAGTGAAAGCATAGGAGCTTATAAAGGAAAAGGTAAATATTAGGCTGCTGAGAGCCAATTTGGAGTCAAGAAGCATGTACAGACCTGTAACTCAGGCATGTACATAATTATAGATTGATGAATACGTGTGTACCCCCCTGAGAGATACATTAATGGGCCAGATTTCTGATAGGAGCTATACCTCCATTCTGGCAGTTATTTCATAGCGCAGCTCTGTTGGAGACAGGAAATCCTTTTCATAGCAGTCAGTGTCGCATCCTCACATTTAAAGGTCTAAACAAGCACTTTGACAGCTGCTGTTAAACATTAAGTATTAAGTTAAGTCCAATGTTAGGCTGCTGAGAGGTTAGTATGCTTGCTGGGAAGTTCATAAGCCAGATAAGTAGAGTACAAGCTAGGGAAAGGATAGGATGTCAAGTGCGTAGGTGGCAAGGTGTCATGTGGTAGGATACCAAGTAGGCAGGATGCTATAGCGCAAGATGGCAAGGGTAAGTGATGAGGTTATCTGTTTATTTTTTCTGTATTTTTGGTTTTGGACTTAAATGGGGAAATAACTTCTAATCATCAAGGGTTACTGTGTTTTGAAAGTAAGTAAAGTGACACATATTGCAAGCACCATTTACTCAGCTACTTATTCAAGCAGTAGTTCAAGTGTATCTTTAAGAGTACCTGGAGCTAAGGGGTGCTTACAAACAGGACTGTAAGCCAGAACAAGGAGCTGATTGATAACTGGTCACTAGTCCACAAATCTTTGATGAAGGCTTTCTGCTTGCCAACAACTATATGATTAGGTGGTAGCTGAACAGCTTGGGGCTGCAAACAAGACCTTGGGAAGACATCCAGTCTCCATCAGGTCAGGAGCTCTTTCTGTTAAGTGGAGTAAAAGCCCTTCGAGCCTGAAGAAAATCAGTTTACTTTTCCTTGAGCAGTTCCTTTAAGTTGTGACTTCTTAACATGTCATAGAACTATAATAAATTTTTGAACCAGCCACCAGTGAAAATATCCAGAGAAGGAAGACCAAGAGCTGCATTCTGACCGGGACAAAAATCATCTTAGCAGATCCTGTCAACAGGGACCACTAAACTGTTTTCCTTTTGTCCATAACACCCATGTGTTTTTCCTGTCCATGTCTGATTATAGCCATGTTTAAGGGAAGCTAATAAGAGGATGAGTGTTTTAACCAGTAGAGTTATTTGCTGACAGTTCATAATCATTTACCTGTAGCTAGAGTCTAATTATTTGTAATAAATAGTAATGCTTGTTATGTTCAGAAGCCTGGGGTCTGTGCTTTCTATCAACTTGCGTTGGAAAAAAAAATTAGCTAAACTGGAGAATTACTAAAATTTTTAACTTTTGTGACAATTCTGGAAACATCAGGTCTTGATTACCAGCACCCTAACCCAGTGAGCTGTAACACAAAGGGTTTAAGGTAGGTTGGCCTGGATGGGAAAAACCTGGTCTTTTGGGTGGGAGAAATCTGGTCTGTTGATAGAGCATGGGATGGTGTCAAATCAGATGTGTAGGCTATCTCAGGAGATACAGTTGGCTTGCGAGACATAGGAATGGGGACAGTTCAACAGTTACTCTGGAGCTAGATTAAATATTTAATTGCCTAACGTTACATGAGTAACAATTTACTTAATTTCATCAAAATCCTCTAATTGTCAGATTTACTTAGATCCTCTGGAAGGGTTCTAAGAATGGTGGGATTGCCCAGTGCAATCTTCAATTTCTTAGGTAGTTCGTTTGGAGTCTGCAATGATGGGGATTCTGCAGGATCCCCGTTTGCAACTCCAATATACGCTGAAATAACTGCTGTCTGGTCAGCAGAATATCCATGCCCATTTCTCAAGTATAATGTGAGCCACTGTAACAATTCTGCAACATCTAGCTATCAACACTATACATACAATAATGGAGAGACAATCATTTTCACTCCTGTATATAGAGGGGATGAAATAAAAAGAAAAAAATCATCCTAATCTTTATGTGGCAATACTAGGAATTCCTTCAAATCACACTCAAAGACCAACTGGTTACCGGTGGTAACTGTAAAGTTCATTAACTTGCATATCGCGAGGCTATAAGCTTTTCAGAAAGCATTTTAACACAGTAGCCGATACATTACCATAAAGTGCAGCACTCACTTATTTCTGAGAGTTGAATCTTACCGGTTTTGTTCCTTTCTCAAATGTGGAAGGCATGTCTTTAATGTCCGTGAAGTCTGAAGCAAACGGTGCATAATGGAATGGATAGAACCATTTCCAGGAAGCGCACCCCTGTTAACAGAATTTAGTTTTTAATTTTACAAAATGTGTTTCATAGGAAATCTTGTTAAATAGAGGAACCTTGCTCATGATATATGGTCCCTACTCCTTAAAATCTACTACACACGCCATCAAATAGAATCATTCACCACATTTGGCTTCTCCAGGGGCACACGTTCCACAGTATGCACTGAATTGTTACATTGCAAACAGCAGTTACCACAACTTCAGAATGTTCCAAAGGCCAAAAAAATCCACAAGAAATTGTTTTAATAATTGAGAATGTAGACTTTCCAGCCTGGAGTACTTTTTCCTGGCTGGGTTATTCTTGGTTGCTTTCAAGTCTCTTCTTACCCATCTCCTGATGTTTGCAATGAAATGTTCTGGGACACTCCCTGTAACTTGGATTATCAGAGGAATGTAGGAGAAAGACATTGTCCAATCTGACAGTGCCCAGTTCTGAGGAAGGGTCACCAGACCCGAAACGTTAACTCTGTTTTTTCCTTCACAGATGCTGCCACACCTGCTGGGCTTTTCCAGCAACTTGGTTTTTGTTCCCAGTCTGATGAGTTATTTTAGGAGGGAAAGATAAATGCTCAATTCCCCAATACTATTCCCTCCCCTTTGATGTCCACCAGAATTCTCAAGTTGGAATCTATCATGTGCTGCTACTTAACTCTGATAAAACAGATCACGAACGAAAAGGTTACATACCTGGTAATAATACTGAAGAACCCAGCACAGACCTTCAACATATGATGCCACAACTTTTCTGCGGAACTTATCATCAGAAGCATCAACGTCAAACTTGTTTTTATAGTAACGTTGCTTCCAGCCCTCTTCCCAAAGCCTGTATTGTAAAAACAAGACTTTTTTGATGAAATGAAGCACATCAAATTTGCTGGAAACAACCCAAATTAAAAGCCTACAGAAATGTAGTTGTGTTTCAGCTTCCCTTACTCCTCAAATGCAGTTTATCCTCAGCATATGTTAAAGCAGGACCAAGCTGCAGTCTCTAATAATCTGGCCATTGAAACTAAGGCAAGTTGATCCTATTT